AGAATAGTCAATTATTTTACCACCGTAATTAAAATCCTTCCTTCCTTCCTTCCTTCCTTCCTTCCTTCCTTCCTTCCTTCCTTCCTTCCTTCCTCCCTCCCTCCCTCCTTCCATCCTCCCTTCCCTCCCTTTCTTCTTTTTCTCTTTCTTTCTTTCCTTTCTTTCAGAGTCAATTCTTTTACCACCATAACTAAAATACTTTCTCTTTCTTTTCTTTTTTGTTGACAGGGTCTTACTCTGGAGTTCACTGATGTGATTATAGCTCACTGCAGCCTGGAACTACTGGCCTTAAGTGCTCCTCCCACATCAGGTCTCCCAAAGTGCTGGGATGACAGGCATGAACCACCACACCCCACTTAAAATATTTTCAAGACTGTCTCTAATTGTTTATTGATGGTACATTGAGTTACTAATTTTTCACCCATTCACTCAACAGGCGTTTGTTAAATGCTTACCCTGTGGAGTATTGCAATTCTGTTTCTGGAAAGGGATCCCGAACTAGACCCCAAGAGAGGGTTCTTGGATCTCTCTCAAGAAAGAATTCAAGGCAAACCCAGAGTAAAGTGAAAAGCAAGTTTATTAAAGAAGTAAAGAAATAAAAGAATGGCTACCCCATAGGCAAAGCAGCCCCGAGGCCTGCTGGTTGGCTATTTTTATGGTTGTTTTTTGATTGTATGCTAAACAAGGAGTGGATAATTAATGAGTTTTCCCAGAAAGGCGTGGGCTATCCCAGAACTGAGAGTTCCTCCCCTTTTTAGACTATATAAGGTAGACATTGCCATGGCATCTGTAAACTGTCATGGCACTGGTGAGAGTGTCTTTTAGCATGCTAATGCATTGTAATTGGCGTATAATGAGCAGTGAGGACGACCAGAGGTCACTTTTCTCTCCGTCATGGTTTGGGTGGGTTTTGGCCACCTTCTTTACCGCATCCTTTTATCAGTAAGGTCTTTGTGACCTGTACTTTGTGCCAACCTCCTATCTCATCCTGTGACTTAGAAAGTCTTTATTTCTTAGAAAGACTTTATTTCTAGGAATGCAGCTCAGTAGGTGTCAGCCTCATTTTACCCAGTCTCTATTCAAGATGGAGTCGCTTTAGTTCAAGCACCTCTGACAATTTTGATTGTCTACTGTTGGTGGGGCATGGTGGCTCAAGCCTGGAATCCCAGCACTTTGGGAGGCCAAGGCAGGTGGATCACTTGAGTTCAGGAATTTGAAACCAGCCTGGCCAACATGGTGAAACCCCATCTCTACTACAAATATAAAAATTTGCCAGGCATGGTGGCAGGCACCTCTAGTCGCAGCTACTTGGGAGGCTGAGGCGGGAGAATCAGTTGAACCCAGGAGGTGGAGGCTGTAGTGAGCCAAGATCGTGCCACTGCACTCCAGCCTGGGCAACAGAGCGAGACTCCATCTCCAAAAAAAGAAAAAGTCTTCTGTAGGGATACAGACAAATGATTGAGTTTCCTATGTTCATATCTATACAAGAAGCTATAGGATGAAATATCAGAGAATAAATTTTAATAACCAAGGTCGAATGGACAGAGAAGGCCAAAAAGTTTAAAGGAAAAGCAAAGCAAAGCACTTAGAAACGTTTCCTAGTACATTTTCAACCACGTTTCAAGTGTCTCCTACTAACACAGGAGAATTTTCTATTGAGTGGTGGTCAACACTTTTCTCTTCCTGTGGTCATGCCATCTTCCTCACAAAAAACCAAAAATACACAACTGTGGGTCCCCTTCCTCCACTCACCTGCCAACTCACCCCCGTTTTGCATTTGATGCTGTGAAGTTCAGAGTTAACTTGCTTGGTCAACCTTAGCAAGCCTCCAGTGCATTATCCGTATTATCTTTCTCCCACCTACCTGATTAGGTTTTCGCTTTTGTTCACCTTTTAAATTCGGGTTTCCTGTAAACTCCCAGGAAACAAGGCGAGGAGGAAGAAGAAAATATTTCTAAGTATCTGGGACACTAGTTGGTACAAAACAGTTTCGAAGGGGGTTGTTCCTTCACATTCCTGAGACTCCCAAGGACAAGGTCAATCAGGTCCCGCTCCCCTTCTCCCTCCCTACTCCGATCCTGCCCCAAGCCTAGGTTCAGTGGAGACCATGTTATCCCCTACTGACCGCCAGCCTTTCCGCTCTGGGGCTGCGCTTCTCTCCCTAAGTCACCTCTGACTTCTCAGCCAGCAACTATGTTCTTTCCGGCTACCAAGGACAGACAGGACATGAAACCTTTTATCGTAAAGACAGAAGTATTTTCTTGAGTTTCTTTTTTCTTTTTGAGTCTTCGGAAGGAGAAAAGGAAGGAACCTTCTTTCAAGGCCCAAAACAGTTATAAAAGTTGCGTGCTCATGGCAAACAGCATTTCTCATTGTGTTTATGTGTTTTCTGCCCCACAATCCTGAATGACTCAGATGACAAAAAAAAAAACAATCCAGGCCTGGGGGAGGGGCACCCGCGGGGTGGTTGTGAGGCATAAATGATACAAAATGCCAAAAGAAGCTGGAAACCCATTTTAACCTGAACTACAGGTTTGCATTTTTCCCATTTCTCTGCCTTCTGTCACCTCCATCCCACCCCCACATCCAACTTAGCTTTTCTATTGCAAATAGCTGGGCCCAGGATTTGAATGAAAGCAGAAGCTGTTTCCTCTGCTTACGATCGGCAGACAACTGCATCACAATCTGGGCGACTTTGCAGGCTTGCTACCAATTGTGAAATAAATAACTTCTGATTTATGCCATTTGTGTAGCAGAAAACTACAAAATAATAGATACAAATAAAGAGGTTTCTTGTTGTTCCTTTATGCACAAGAAACCTCTTTATTTGTATCTATTATTTTGTGAAGGCCATAATTAGATGAATAGCTGGCCTTTAGATTTTTGTATCTTTAGGCTTGAACAAGAGTACAATAACAAAGAATTTACAAAAAAGAAAGTAATCAGGACAACCTTGTAGTAAATTTTTGACCCTTGAATAATTCAGAAGCCAAAATCTACGAGAGCCACATTCCACCTGAGACAAAGAGAAATGATTCTTTCACTACAAGAATTTCTTTAAAAAATCAACTGACAAATTTTTAGCTAAAAGGGAAATATCCCATCTAGTTTCTTGAATGACAGTCATTGTTACTTAAAACAGACTCCCGTGTTCGGTTCTGACTGGAGGGTTGTGCAGTTTTTCTGGTTTTAAAACTGATGGCATTCAACATGGCAAGGGAAAGAATTCTCCCAGCCATTTGCATAATTATCTACATTTAAATTCTCACCTTAATAAATAAGTCCTTTTTTCCCTCAGCATCATTATTCTTTTTTTTTTTTTTGAGACGGAGTCTAGCTCTATCCCCCGGGCTGGAGTGCAGTGGCACAATCTCTGCTCACTGCAAGCTCTGCCCCCTGGGTTCACGCCATTCTCCTGCATCAGCCTCCCGTGTAGCTGGGACTACAGGTGCCCGCCACCACACCTGGCGAATTTTTTTTTTTGTATTTTTAGTAGAGATGGGGTTTCACCGTGTTAGCCAGGATGGTCTCGATCTCCTGACCTCGTGATCTGCCCTTCTCAGCCTCCCAAGGTGCTGGGATTACAGGCATGAGCCACCGCGCCCGGCCTGCGTCATTATTCTTTAATAGCATTTTACCTGATTGCAAAAGTAACACCTGTGCATTGTAAACATTTTGGAAAATCCTGAAAATCACAGGGAAGAAACAGACAAATCATTTGTTTCTCCAGCACCCACCAATAACTATTATTCACATGTTAATGTTTAGTCTTCTAGTCTGTACTTCTCAATATGAATATATTCATGTTCTTCACAAAAATAATACGCCATTTTTGCTTTTTCACAAACCATTAAAAATCTCTGCTATCGTGTTTGCAAGTAGATGCCATCCGATGCTGCACCATATTTTTTTCCACCGATTCTTTCCTCCTAGGCATTTGGGCTTTTCCTGGTGGCTCCATGAACAATGGAGTTCGTGGTTATGAAGAACGTAGTCTAATTCAACTCACCCTAAAGTGACACTTCTACCCCTGTGACCAAGAATTCTCCTGGCGGGGAAAACATAACAGGAAAATATTTCATACACTTTTGGGTGAGGGTTGGCCAAACTAGACTTTAGTGCAATTATTAACGTTTCAACGGCAAACTCCTCATTGGCTCATTCAACCAACCAACCAAGAAAGGGGAAAGTTCTCTTTTCAGCTTTACACATTTATTCTCTATGAAGGTACACTTTCCCTCATTCCCTAAAGAGTAAGGAAAGCTCATTTGAACTTTTATATTCCCTTTTTGCTCTGAACTCCATTATAATGTTTCTCTCAATTGTCCCCTTTTCCGTAAAACTTTCACCCACTTCCCCCTCTGCCATCTTAGCCCAGGCCCCCACAACACGGGATCTGCTCCTGTCCTGGGGTAACCATCATTATCTGTTATGTTATCTTAGGGCTATTTAAAAAAAAAAACCAAAAAAAACAAAAAACAAAAAAAAAAAACCTTTTATCTTTTCTCCTAGTTTTTTTTTTTTTTTCCTCCATCAGAGTTTATGCCCGATTCAACTTGGTAGCCCCACACAGTAGACACTCAATAAATATTTGTCGAATGATTCTTTCAAGGCATCTCGGTCACAGCACTTTCTCTGCATGTAGGTCTCTCACAGGCTGGAGGCCACAGTTTAACAAAGCCAGGGCAAGGTCAGAGGGAGGCCGAGAAGGCGCTTTCAAGTTGAGTAATGAAAGGCGATGTTAATTACTGACATGGGCCATTTAGAAGGAAGAAAAATGCTATCTCTTATTAATTTTGCTGAAATGGACACACTCTTGTCGGTGGCTAATGGTTAACAAAGCCATTCTTTGCTGAAGGACAGGACAGGAAAACCTCGGTTACGGAAGGACCAGAGCAGCCACAGTGCAGAAACTTCCTGCCGCTACACGCCTGCACCCGCCAGAGATAACGTCTTTCACCATTTTTTTCCTCATGTATAAAGTTAGACAGAAAACCATCAAGGAGAGGTTAAAAGTTTCATTTCTACCAAGATGTTTATGATGGGTTTACAGGGAAGCCAGGCTCCCGGCAAAGGACCCAGGAATCAAGTTTACATTTTAATGGAGGGAGGCGGGAGGTAGAAAGAGGAAAAAAAGGCAGCTTGTGGAATGGGAATTCCTCATCCTGTTAGTGGACAACACTAATTTAATCAAGAAGAAAGGGTCTGTTGAACAGCCGCTCTCCCTGCGATTTCAGCCTGCCGATAATCTTGGTGGAAGTTCATAAATGCGTCTCAAATGCTCCCAGCCTTTCAGTCTGAACACGCGGTTTTGGCAGTTGTGAACTTCAAGTGGACCCATTTAAGCTGATCAGAGGAAACAGGCTGACAGTGAGCTGATTAGAAACCTCTTAGAGACCCTTCTTTAAAGAGGGAAAGGAGTTCTTAACTTTTTTCCATCATCTTTAGAGAGAGACCCAGGGGTGGGTAATAAAAAAGAAAGGTTGCAAGTGGGGTGGGAGTGGGGGTTGTGGGCGAAGGAAAAGGTTCATTTTAGAACACGAAGAAAAACAACTGCTTTGCCAGCCCTTTCCCAACCTCCTCGCTCTTGTCAATTTCTGCTTTGAGGGAATGTTTGAAGATAACAGGAAAGGAAATCATGAAATGATATGGCAAGGATGAGTGAGGCTTAAAGAGACGAAGGCAAGCTGTTTCCTTGACCCAGGCTTATCTCAAGCCTGCCAAAAAAATAACCATCGATCACAGACCCATAAATAGGTTAGGAACATGGGAGTAAAATGCTGCTTTTAATGATAAAGCAATCGGTGAGTTAGTTTTAGAAAACAACCATCTCAGACATCTTAGGCTTAACAGATGCACACAAAGGTGTACTTTTGTCTGGGGGGGGGAGGGGGGTGACTTCTTGAACAAGCTGAATATTTTTTAGGAAGGAGGAGCTCCACTTGAGAAAAGTTACAAACATATGAACATTCAGAAAGAACATTTCAAAACCTCTCTGGGGAAAATAGGAGTTACTGACAATAATGCACGTGCAGGGAGAGATTCCACTGCAAAATCTAAATAAGTGAGAAAGCTACCTCTTTGCTAGCCGCCAAGCCCTTATCAGCAACAAAAAGTCCAAGTTAAGGATTTGCTTTCCAAACTGATACCCCACATGTGACCTAAAATAGACCAGGCAGTCAGGTTTCTCACTGGGGCCCTTGAGTCTGCAAACCTGATCCCTGCTGAAATACTCCAGGAAGAACCAGATTCTCTGGGTTACAGCCCTTAAGATCACAATAGCAGTTTCAATTCCAGACCTTCAACTGAAAATGAAGTTTACAAATTAGCTTTGAATAAATATTATGCTTCCAGTCTCCAGTGAAGAGCCACAGCTCTGAGAGAAACCAAATTAGAAAAAGACTCAATTCAGCTCCTAAACACACAGAACCAAGCCCAAACCGACCTAGCCTGGCATGTTTCTCTTCTTGCTCTACCAAAATAGCATGGTGATGTCATGCTTTCATTTGTCCCCCAAAACCAGCCACCCTGCCCTCCTAAAAATAGCTTGATGCACTTCTAAAGGGAAAAAAGGGGGAGTCAAAATATTTTTTGAAATAAAATTTTTTTCACTTAAACCGTCAAGCAATAAAAGATCATCTTTTCTTTCCTGTTTACTTTGTCTCCCAGACTCTGTGTGTGTGTGTGTGTGTGTGTGTGTGTGTGTGTGTGTGTGTGTGTTTCCCAAAGTCCCTCTGAAAATCATACAAGAAGGAAAAACCTTTTCCAAAATAATTTATGTAGTCTGACTTCTGAGGCCTTCTTATGTTTGTAAATTTTCTCTTTGTTCTTTGCCAGTGAATGCACCAGACTCAGGATTAACCAAGGACTTATTTAGGAGTCCTTTGAAAAATATAAGCTTATTTGTAGGGAAAAGGACCGACTTAGAGACTGCTAGACATCAGGGACATACATCAGTGATCCTCAAGGCTGTTTGAGCCTCCAGACACTTGTAACACTTTGAGATACGAAACCTTGGACTCACTAGGGACCTGTTGAATCATTTAAGTAAGGCCCAGCCATCTGCATCATTCAAAAGAAACCCAGGTAGCCATGTGTGGTAGCTCATACCTGTAATCCCAGCATGTTCAGAGGTTGAGGTGGGAGGACCAGGTCAGGAGTTGGAGATCAGCCTGGACAACATGGTGAAATCCTGTCTCTACTAAAAATACAAAAAAAAAAAAAAATTAGCCAGCCATGGTGGCAAGTGCCTGTAATCTCAGCTACTCAAGAGGCTGAGGCAGGAGAATTGCTTGAACCCGGGATGCAGAAGTTGCAGGGAGGCAGAGGTTGCAATGCAATGAGCCAAGATTTTGCACCACTGCATTCCAGCCTGGGCGACAGAGTGAGACTTCATCTCAAAAAAAACAAAAAAAAGTTAGCTGGGCATGGTGGCATGCACCTGTAGTCCCAGCTACTCAGGAGGCTGAAGCAGGAAGATCACTTAAGGCCAGGAGTCCAAGGCTGCAGTGAGCCATGATCATGCCACTGCACTCTAGCCTGGGCAACAGAGCAAGAAAAAGGAGTAGGGAGCTTGGAGGGAGGTGGCGATGGTTAATGGGTACCAAAAAAAAAAAAAATGAGTAAGACATACTATTTGATTGCACAACACGGCAACTATAGTCAATAGCAACTTAATGTACATTTCTAAATAACTAAAAGAGTATAATTGGGTTGTTTGTAACACATAAGATAAATGTTTGAGGGGATGGATACCCCATTCTCCATGAATCGCCTGCCTGTATCAAAACATCTCATGTACCCTACAAATATATATACCTACTATGTGCCCACAAAAATTTAAAAATACATTTTTAAATTAAAAGGAACCCAGGTGACTCCGAGGCTCATTCGGCATTAGGAAGCACCCATAAGACTTGGCATGAAGGCCGATGTTCCAAAGAGCAAGCTCTCATGTCCCTCTCCCCACACCAAAAAGTGGTACCTTGTCCCAGCTCTTCTGAACACAGCAGACACCAGCTATTCCAGCTAGACTGATGATTTCAGAACATCCCTTAAAGTAACTTAGCATCTCTCTCCCACTTCCTTCATTTCTCATAAATTGCTATAGGTTGTCTTTGATCTCAGAGTAGACTCCCTATAAAAAGGAGGCAAAGTAACTGAGATGAAAAACAAACTTTACTCAAGAATCCAATAAAAGATGAGTGGAGAGGGTCCCTGCCACAGATAGGAGATTTCATTCACTAAGTCTGAAGACACAGGCAGGGCAATGGGTAATAACTTGTTTGAGCCAAACTTACCCCCTAGTTAGGAAGGCTGGCTGTCATTTACCTGAGGGTTACATTAGAACAAAAGCAAGTCCAAAAAAAAAAAGATGCTAAGAATAAAAATATCTCTCTTTTTGGGGTCTTCTTAACTTTGTCAGAGTGCTTCCACATCTATTGTCTGTTTTTATAATTAATCCCACAAGTAACTACATATTTGTTTGTTTTGTTTTATTTTGAGATGGAGTCTCACTCTGTTTCCAGTGCAGTAGTGCAATCTCGGCTCCCTGCAACCTCCTCCTCCTGGGCTCAAGCAATTCTCATGCCCCAGCATCCTGAGTAACTGGGATTACAGGTGCGGGCCACCACGCTGGACTAATTTTTGTATTTTTGGTAGAGATGGGGTCTTACACCATGTTGCCCAGGCTGGGCTCGAACTGCTGGCCTCAAGTGATCCACCTGCCTCAGCCTCCCAAAGTGCTGGGATTACAGGCATGAGCCACTGCATCTGGCGATATTTACGTATGAGATCTATTAACCAGCCTGTAATCCCAGCACTTTGGGAGGCGGAGGCATGTGGATCACGAGGTCAGGAGATCAAGACCATCCTGGCAAACACGGTGAAACCCTGTCTCTACTAAAAATACAAAAAAATTAGTCGGGCGTGGTGGCGGGTTCCTATAGTCCCGGCTACTCAGGAGACTGAGACAGGAGAATGGCCTGAACCCGGGGAGCGGAGCTTGCCGTGAGCGGAGAGATCGCACCACTGCACTGCAGCCTGGGCTACAGAGCCAGACTCCGTCTCAAAAACAAACAAACAAAAAAACTATTAACCAAGCACATTTTAATATTGTTGTCACTCCCTAGCTTAAGAGAAATAGGGGAAAATTTTCACGGGATTATGAAATTGATTTCTAAATACCAGTATATTTACAATTTATTTTTTAACTTATCAAGTGAAATATCATCAGTATGTTTACAATTTATTTTTAACTTAATTTTTACTTTATCAAGTCAAATATCTGTCAGAGTTACTTTAAAAGCATTAAGACTTTGGCCTAAATTGGACCATTGAGGTAGGGCATGTTTTCAAATTTCTGTCTTTGATCAGTGCTTTTCCTAAACCACTACAAATAAATGAGAACCTCACCAACCTTAAAGATATGGCAAAGTAAGGCCGGGCGCGGTGGCTCAAACCTGTAATCCCAGGACTTTGGGAGGCCGAAGCGGGCGGATCACGAGGTCAGGAGATCCAGACCATCCTGGCTAACACGGTGAAACCCCGTCTCTACTAAAAAAACACAAAAAACTAGCGGGGCGTGGTGGCGGATGCCTGTAGTCCCAGCTACTCGGGAGGCTCAGGCAGGAGAATGGCGTAAACCCGGGAGGCAGAGGTTGCAGTGAGCTGAGATGGCACCACTACACTCCAGCCCGGGTGACAGAGCGAGACTCCGTCTCAAAAAAAAAAAAAAAAAGGATATGGCAAAGTAAAGGACGTTTTAGTGCCTCCCCTGGTAAACCATTTCTATTTTCCTTGACTCACTGTCAGTGACGATGTAGACTGATACCTAATTACACACTTAGATTCGTACGAAATTACTAAAACGGCTTCATCGTCTGGAGTATTACCCGAGGTTCGTGGTCTCACAAGCCAAGGAGAACAAGGACGCAGGCGCGCAAAAGTGGGAGGTTAAGAGCAGAAGTTCAACAGGCAAAAGAAAGAGAATAGCTCTCTGATGCGGAGAGGGGTCCCAGAGAAACGGTTTGCCAGTTCCACGGTGAGATGCAGGGGCTTTATAGCCCAGCTGGTGAGGAGGCAGTGTCTGATTTACATAGGGCAAGAAAGACTGGTTGGACCAGGTGTGCCATTTGCATAGGGTACGAATTTCTGGCCACCCCCACCCTAATCTTTTAGTATGCCTGGCCTGTGCCATGTTGTCCACTCCTTTACTGTACACGTGGTAACAGTACATGTGGTAACAAAAAAAGGGAAGATGGAGCTTCCATGTTGGACATTCCTGGCCCCCAGGTAGCCCTTTTCTGTCGGCACAGCTGCTGGCATTCCCCCATGCAAGTTTCCAGCTTGCTTATCTATTTTTGCAGCTGGATTTTTCAGAGTGCTCTTTGTTAGAAAAAATAATAATAATAATTTATTGGGCTGCTTTTTTGTTAAAAGGGAAGCTCTGCTGAGGACTCTGTTGCCCTCACTCTCCGCCTCATTTCTTTCTACCTCCTGTATCATTACCTTGCATGTGATCTCCATCAAAAGAAGTATCTCTACTTCCTCTCAACTTTCCCAGCAATCTTGGTTTCCAGGCTTTACTTTACACCTTTGGGTTCCTCAAGCGCCCCCAAGTTCTCTCAGACTCCTCCAAGAATTTAGTGAAATGCCTAGTAGGAACAAGGGTAAGAGAGTGTCTATAGTCTACAGCGACTCAGAAAACCAGAGGAAGGAGAGATCCCTCCAAAACAGGCTCACCAGGAAACCTTAATGGCAAAGACAGGTTCTTTGTTGTTGCTGATGTTGTTGAGATAGGTGCTCATTCTCTGTCACTCTGCCACCCAGGCTGGAGTGCAGTGGGGCAATCATAGCTCACTGCAACCTCGAACTCCTTGGCTCAAGTGATCCTCCCTCCTCAGCCTCCTGGGTAGCTGAGACTACAGGCATACACCACCATATCCAGCTAATTTTCTTTTTTTTTTATTTATTTTTTATTTTTTGGGAGATGGGATCTTGCTATGCTGCCCAGGCTGATCTGGAACTCCTGGGCTTAAGCCATTCTCCCACCTTGGCCTCCCAAAGCACTGGGATTATAGGCATGAGCCACTGTGCCTGGCCAAGGGAGACAGGTTTGATCTGGGCTTTAAAGAATGGATCAGGATGCAGGGAGGAATCGTTGGCTTTGTATCAGAAAGTATTCGGGATTTACCTGGAATAAGAACAAGCACAGGGCATGGTGGGGGTCACCTCTGAGTGGGAAAAAGCAACTAGAAGATTGTTCTCATTTGAGAGACAGGTCTGTGGGAGACTTCTAGAAATAAAATTGGAAGGACAAGGTGGCAGAAAACCCAATAAAGCCTGAATGCCAAGGTGAGGGCCTTGGAAATAATCAGAAACGCCACTGAGAGCCACTCCTGACTTTTAAAGAGAGTGACATTTAAGAGGTTTAAGTTGGCAGCCATATGCAAGATGTGTCAGAATGAGGTAAATAAGCAAACTGGGTGAGAGGCAAAAGGGCCTCGACCAAGGTTTATTGATAAGTGTGTTGCCCAAGACTGAGTCAAAACTCTTGCTAAAGTCAATCTAGATTAAATCTGTCGCTTGCCTTTAACCTAGCAGGCCAATCAAGGTCTCCAAGGAAGAGATGAAATTCCTCAGAGCAGGTCTTGGTTATGAAGCCAAGTGAGTGGTTATTCACACTTCGTGTCTCTGAGATGGGCACACATGCAGATGTGCTGACTATTTCCCTCTTTCCACTGTCAGTCACTTCCTGGCCAAACTGTCTAAAAACAAGAGAATCACAGAGTCTTAGCGGTGGACATAACCTCAGCAATCATGTGGTTCCTATCATGCACTGGTACATCATTTTGCACTGAGAGCCGACCATGTGACCAGAACTGTGCTGGAGGAGGGAAATGGAACACAGTAGCCTCACGGGAGACAGAAGCACCTTACCACCAAGCACCCCAGCTAGTCCAACTCCTTCATTTTACAGATGGGTAAACTGAGATACAGACACATCAAGTGACATATCCACATTCACACAGGTATTTGCAGATCCAGGTTAAATATGTAGACAGGCCAGGCGCGGTGGCTCACGCTTATAAACCCAGCATTTGGGGAGGCCAAGGCAGGAGGGTCACTTGAGCCCAGGAGTTCAAGATCATCCTGGGCAACAAAGCAAGATCCCATCTCTACGAAAAGTAAAATACAATTAGCCAGCT